ATAATGCTGCTATAAACATAGTTGAACAAATGCTTTTGTAGTATGATTGAGCATCTTTTGGATATGTCCAAGAGTGGTATTGCTGGATCCTGAAATAGGTTGATTCCCAATTTTCTGAGAAACCGCCATACTGATTTCCAAAGTGGTTGTTTGCATTCCCACCAACAATGAATGAGTGTTCCCCTTACTCCACATCCTCTCCAGCATAAGCTATCATTGGTGTTTTTTATCTTAGCCATTCTCATAGGTGTAAGATGGTATCTCAGAGCTGTTTTGATTTGCATTTCCCTGATGGCTAAGGATGTTGAACATTTCCTTAAGTATCTTTTGGCCATTTGAGAATTCTGTTTAGTTCTGTATCCCATTTTTTAATTGGGTTATTTAGAATTTTAATATCTAATTATTTTAGTTATTTATATGTTTTGGAGATCACTCCTTTGATGTGGGGTTGGTGAAGATCTTTTCCCATTCAGTAGACTGCCTTTTTGTCTTATTGACTGTGTCCTTTGCTTTACAGAGGCTTCTCGGTTTCAGGAGGTCCCATTTATTTATTGTTCCTCTCAGTGACTGTGCTACGAGGGTTATATTTAGGAAGTGGTCTCCTGTGCCCATGCATTGAAGACTACTTCCCACTTTCTCTTCTATCAGGGTCAGTGTGGTCAGATTTTATTGAGGTCTTTAATCCATTTGGACTTGAGTTCGGTGCATGGCAGTAGATATGAATCTATTTTCATTCTTCTACATGTTGACATCCAGTTATGCCAGCACCATTTGCTGAAGATACTTTCCTTTTTTTCATTGTATAATTTTAGCTTCTTTGAAAAAAATCACGTGTTCATAGGTGAGTGGATTAATATTTGGGTTTTTGATTCGATTCCATTGGTCAACCTCTCTGTTTTTATGCCAATACCAAGCTGTTTTCATTACTGTAGCTCTGTAATAGAGCTTGATGTCAAAGATGGTGATGCCTCCAGAAGTTCCTTAATTGTACAGGATTGTTTTCGCAATCCTGGGTTTTTTGTTTTTCGATATGAAGTTGATTATTGTTCTTTCAAGGTCTGTGAAAAATTGTGTTGGGATTTCTATGGGGATTGCATTGAATCTATAGACTGCTTTTGGTAGGATTGCCATTTTTACCATGTTGATCCTACCTATCCAAGAGCATGGGGAAATCTTTTCATTTTCTGGTTTCAATTCCTTTCTTCAAAGAGTTAAAGTTCTTGTCAAATAGGTCTTTTAGTTGTTTGGTTAGTGCTATTTCAAGACATTTTATGTTATTTGTGACTATTGTGAAACATGTTTCTTTGATTTCCCTCTAGGCTTCATCATTTGTGTAGAGGAGGGCTACTGATTTTTTGAGTTGATCATGTATCCTGCCACATCAATGAAAGTAGTAGCTGGAGTTCTCTGGCAGAGTTTTTTTGGGGTCACTTATGTACACTATCATATCATCTGCAAATAACAAAAGCTTGACTTCTTACTTTCTGATTTGAATCCCCTTGATCTCCTTTTGTTGTCTTATTTTTATTGCTAAAACTTCAAGAACTATGTTGAAGAGATATGGAGAGTGGACAGCCTTGTCTTGTTCCTGATTTTAGTGGAATCACTTTGAGTTTCTCTCCATTTAATTTGATGTTGGCTGTCAGCTTGCTGTATATTGCTTTTATTAAATTTAGATATGTCCTTGTAACCCTGATCTCTCCAAGACCTTTATTATGAAGGGGTGTTGGATTTTGTCAAATGCTTTTTCAGCATCTAATGAAATGATCATATGTTTTTTTTTTCAGTTTATTTATATGATGGATTATATTAATAGATTTTCATATGTTGAACCAGTCCTGAATCTCTGGGATGAAGTCGACTTGATCATGATTTTTTGATGTGTTCTTGGATATGGTTTGCCAGTATTTTATTGAGTATTTTTGCATCCATGTTCATTAGTGTAATTCTATTTCTCGGTTGAGTCTTTGTGTGGTTTTGGTATCAGGGTAGCTGTAGCCTTATAAAAAGTGTTTGGCAATGTCACTTCTGTTTCTATTATGTGGAACACTTTGAGGAGTATAGGTATTAGCTCTTCTTGGACGTTCTGGTAGAATTCTACACTAAAACCATCTGGCCCTGGTCTTTTTTTGGTTAGGAGGTTTTTGATGGCAGCTTCCATTTCCTTGCATTTAATAGGTCTATTTAAATTTCTCACCTGGTCTTGACTTAATTTTAGTATATGGTATCTATCTAAAAAAAAAAAAACTCCATTTCTTTTACATTTCCCAATTTTGTGAAGTACAGGTTTCTGTAGTAAGACCTAATGATGGTTCTCTGAATTTCCTCAGTGTCATTTGTTATGTCCCTCTTTTCATTTTTGATATTGTTAAATTGAATGTTTTCTCTCTACCTTTTGATGAACCAGCTCTTTGTTGCATTCTTTGTATTGTTTTGTTTCTATTTTGTTGATTTCAGCACTCAATTTGATTATTTCCTGTCTTCTTCTCCTCCTGGGGTAGTCTGCTTCTTTTTGTTCTAGAGCTTTCAGGTGTGCTGTTAAGTTACTAACAGAGCTTTCTCTGTTTTATGTTGGCACTTAGTGCTATAAACCTTCCTCTTAGCACTGCTTTCATAGTGTCCCATAGGTTTGGATATGTTGTGCCTTCATTTTCATTGAATTCAAGGAAGTCTTTATTTTTCTTTATTTCTTCCTTGGCCAAGGGGTGGTTCAGTAGTTCACTGTTCAGTTTCCACAAGCTTGTAGGCTTTCTGAGAGTAGTATTGTTGTTGTAATATTATACAATATATAGTAATATTGTCTAAATTTACTCCCTGGTGATCCAATAAGACACAGGGGGTTACTCCAATATTTTTGTATCTGTGGAGGTTTGCTTTGTTATCGAGTATGTGATCAATCTTAGAGAAGGTTCCATGAGGTGCTGAGAAGAAGGTATTTGTGTGTAACATGAGGGGGCCTTTTTGTTGGGGGTTTTTCTGTCCTGTCCGGCCCCCCAGCTATTTAGTCCCAGAGAAAAATCACATACAGATCTCTTCAAGTTATAAAGCTGATTGGCCCATTAGGTCAGGCTTCTTACTGGCTAACTCTCACATCTTGATTAACCCGTTTTTCTGATCTATGTTAGCCATGTGGCTCAGTACCTTTTTCAGTGGGACAGCTAACATCCTGTTTCTTCAGTGGTCTGGGCAGGAGTGGAAGGAATCAGTTTCCTCCTCCCCAGAATTCTCCTGCTCTCCTTGCATCATTTCCACTTCCTGTCTGGTTTCCCCGCCTACACCTCCTGCCTGGTCAATCAGCGTTTATTTAAAACATGATTGACAGAATATGGACAATTCTCCCTCACCATTTGTGTTTGGATGGTATGTTCTATAAATGTCTGTTAAACCCATTTGAATCATAACTTCTGTTAGTTTCTCTATTTCTCTGTTAAGTTTATGTCTGGCAATTCTATCCAGTGGTGACAGTGGGGTGTTGAAGTCTTCCACTAATAGTGTATGGGGTTTGATGTGTGATTTAAGCTTTAGCAATATTTCTTTAACAAATGTGGGTGCCCTTGTATTTAGGGCATAGGTGTTCAGAATTGAGACTTGATCTTGATGGATTTTTGTTGTGAAGGATATGAAATGTCCTTCATCTCTTTTCATTACTTTTAATTTAAAGTCTATTTTGTTAGACATTAGGATAGCTTCATCAGGTTGTTTCTTAGGTCCATTTGATTGGAAAATCTTTTCCCAACCCTTTACTCTCATGTACCGTCTGTCTTTGAAGTTGAGGTGTGTTTCTTGTATGTAGCAGAAGGATGGATCCTGAGGTGTGTTTCTTTTATGTAGCAGAAAGATGGATGATAAATGGAATGAGAAAGAAATCAGAGAAACATCACCCTTCGCAACAGCCACAAACAACATAAAATATCTTGGGGGTAACTCTAACCAAATAAATGAAAGACCTGTATGACAAGAACTTTGTGTGCTTGAAGAAATTGAAGAAGATATCAGAAAATGGGAAGGGGAAATAGACAAGATTTCCTAAGTAAATTGGGAGCATGGGGGGAAGGGTGGGTGGGGGGAAGAGAAGTAGGATCAGGAAAGTCGGGCAAGGAAAGAGCTGTCTTGATAGAGGAGCCATTATGGGCTTAGTGAGAAACCTGAAACTAGGGAAATTCCCAGGAATCCACAACGATGATCCCAGCTAAGAATCTAAGCAAGAGTGGAGAGAGTGTCTTAACTGCCCTTCCCATGTAATCAGACTGATGACTGCCTTGTCATCATAGAACCTAACCTACATCCAGTAAGTGATGGAAGCAGATGCAGAGATCCACAGCTAAACATTGGGTCCTGGAGTCCAGTTGGAGAGGGGGAGGAGCAATAACAAGCAAAGGGGTCAAGACCATGATGGGGGAAACCCACAGAAACAGCTGACTGAGCAAGTGGAAGTTCACTGACTCTGGGCTGACTGCTGGGGAACTTGTATATGACCAAACTAGGCCCTCGAATGTGGGTGACAGTTGTGTGGGACCATTAGCAGTGGAGCCAGTTTTTATCCCTAGTGCACGAGCTGGCTTTTCAGAGTCCGTTCTCTATGGAGGAATACCTTCCTTGGCCTAGATACAGGGAGGAAAGCCTTGGTCCTGTCTCAAGTGATGTGACAGGCTTTCTTGATTCCCCGTGGGAGGGCTCAGTCTCTGAGTGAGTGGATGGGAGTGGGATGGGAAGGTGGGGGTAGCAGGAGTAGAAGAGAGAAAGGGAACTGGGATTGCCATGTAAAATAAGATTGTTTTAAAAAGAAAAATTATTTTTATTATTATGTATTAATTTATTATGTGTGTGATGTGTTTAGGTGTGCATGGTAAACAACGTTACGGATTTGATTCTCTCCCCACCTTTGTGTGGGTTCTGGGGGGTCTAACTCAGTTTCTCAGGCTGGTGTACAAGCACTTTATCCACTCAGCCATCTCACCAGGAAGTCTTTTTACCTTAAAAATTTGTTCCTCTCTGTTCAGTTTCTTTAGCTGTGCAGAGGAGACATGATCTGGGAACACAGGCTGTCCGCAGAATTGGAGATCTCGACCAGCTATACTTCAGACTGGGCTACTATCCAGAATTTACAAAGAACTTCAGAAATTAAATACAGAGGTAATAAAACTACCAACCAATAATCTGGGCTAACAAATTAAACAGGCAGTTTTCAAAAGAAGACCATAAACAGCCAAAACCTATTTATTGTTTAACATCTGTAGTCAGTAGGAACATGTAAATTAAGATTAGTTTTGAGATACTGGAGCGGTTGTCATCAACAAACAAACAACAAATATACAAGAGGATGTGAGGAGAGAGCTTGATCACTGCTGGTGGAAGCGCAAATCAATAGATATTATGGAAATGAAACTGGAGTGTCCTCAGAAAGTTAAAGCCAGAACTACTCTATTAAAGAGAACTAGCCAGTTCTCCCAATTCTGGCGCATACCCTTAGGATTGTACATATGGCCATAGAGATATCCACATGTCTAGATTTACTGGACCTCTGTGTACAAGAAATGGAACCAGCCTAGAAGTGTGTCAACAGAGAAGCAGATGATGAAATCTGGCACATATATAATTACAAAATCTGCTGGAGTAGATGGAATTGACAATGCACAGTATTATATGAGCAACCCAAACTCAGGGGAAAGTACACGTCTCCCTCTTCTGTGGCCTAACTTACGATGTGTACATGTACATTGTAAGAGACAGCTGTAAGAAAGGACAATATCTGGTGATGAGGAAGGAAAAAAAACACGAGCTGTGAAATAGGATATAAAGCTAATTTTTTCCTAGCTTCAACTCATCGTAACCTTTTCTTTGTGGCTCAAGAGTGCACATTAACAGTCATAACTGAAATAGTTCACTGACAAGTTCACGGTTTGGGACTATGTTTTTGTTAGAGTGGCTAACTTAGCTCATTTGTGAGTTCACTAAAATGTGATGCTTTGGGAACTCATCCACTCCATAACTGTTCGGGTACCAGCCCATCATGGCATGGCACCACATGTGGACTGACAAGCGCAGACAGGAAGTGTGCTCGCTCTCTTTGCTAGTAGTCTGAGTTTCTGTGTGCTCGACAGAGCAAAGGGCCAAGGTGGCTATATTACTGTGAGTGTTCCCCAAACAAACAGTTGCTATCCTTTATTCTGGAATCTCGACAGCCTTAATCACGTCTACAGTGAGTGACTTAAGTCTCCTTTGGCTACCAGCACAGCACTGACTTTCTCGTGTTCAGTACAGTACATACTTATTTCCTCTTCTCACAATTCATTCTTCCCTCCTTCCCATATTTTCAGTTTTGTCTATTTGCAATTGTTCCTTTCATATTTTCTTTAAGATATGCTATAAAAATTTCCCCCAAATTTTGTTTGTCTGATGATATCATTTTACATCTAGTTCAGTTTACTTCTTTAGGGAGCTTTGTTATAATTGATATGGTAAAATTTACCTATTTTTTTCTTTTCCCTTTTTATTTTTTTCATTATACATATCAATTTGAATTCCCACTCCCTCCCCTCCTCTTAACCTTCCACCCCATCCCCTGATCCACCCCTCAGAGAGGGTAAGGCACGTTGCTTTGCAGTAGGTCCAAGGCCCTTCCTACTCTACCTAGGCTGAAGAAAGTATCCATCCAAAGAGAATAGGTTCCCAAAAAGCCAGTAAAAGCCATAGGGATAAATCCTGGTGCCACTGCCAGTGGCCCCTCAGTCTGCCCCATGCAACTGTCAACCACATTCAGAGGGACTAGTTTGGTCCTCTGCTTGTTCCTTCCCAGTCCGGCTGGAGTTTGTGAGTTCCCATTAGCTCAGGCAGACTGTTTTAGTGGGTATGCCCATCATGGTCTTGACCTCTTGACCTCTTTGCTCATATTTTCACTCCAGTGTTCCAATGTGGGTCTCTGCTTCTGTTTCCATCAGTTGCTGGATGAAGGTTCTATGGTGATAGTTAAGATATTCATCAGTCTGACTACAGGGCTTGGCCAGTTCTGGCACCTCGAGGAGACCTTGAGGGAATGGTTAGTTGAGATGAAGGAAGGGCACAGATGAGAGCAAGGAAAGAGATATCTTGATTGAGGGAGCCACTGTGGGGTTAGAAAGAAACCTGGCTCCAGAGAAATTCCCAGGAGTCCACAAGGATGACCCTAGTGAAGACCCTAAAATTTATTTTATTTTATATTATTTTAAGAACAAGACTGGAAGAGCCACTAGCAAGTCTGGACTCTTTCACGGTATACTTTTATGCCCCTTTGTAGCTAACCCATCACTGATAATTTTGTGCCCCTTTGCTTAAATCCCATGCTGACAGAGATCTTTTCAGTGCATGATGTTGAAGAGCGTTGAAAGAAGTCTGTAATTAACTGACTCACATTCTTTTATCTTTAAATGGCTATATGTGGAGATGAAGTTTATATATTTAATTTAAATATACTCAAGGGATAACACTATATAGGATGGCTGTACACTAAATTTTAAGCCATTTATTCATCAGCATCTTTAAGAATTATTACAAATGCTTATATTTTATTCTAGCCACGGTGGCATGGCCTATGAGTTTGTGTGCACCATGTGCATACAGGAGACCACACCACATGGATGCTGGAACCAAACCTAGTTCTGAAAGAACAATTTGTATTCTTAGCTGCTATTACATTTTTCCAGCCCTGCACACACTTCTTGTAGGTAAGGGTTGTGAAATAGATGCAATCTTTGGAAATAAATTTGGCAAAACCAACTACAAACTCATATAGGAACAAAACTAAGTAAAAATAAAATTAAAAGGAAAAGATGTGATATAAATATGGTAACTATTTTCACTCTTCACTCTCCCTCAGGGCAACAGTGATCTGCTGCCAATCAAATGGTCAGATGCAACGCCAGTGAAGCACATAGTAAGTGAACTAGTGACTAAAACCATCCCCTCCACCGACCGCAAACAAGGAATTAGCGAAGCTGAACTCATTTAGGTGGCTGCTGATTCTTTACTCTCAAGGATGAGTGAGTGATTGTCTCTCTCACCTCTTAGAGCAATTATCATTCTGCTACCTCCTCAGCTCTACCCTTAGTATTGAAAATGTGAGGTCTCCATGATGGTATTTGTTATTCCTTTGTGGTGCCTTTAAGGACTAACCACGCCCACTCCCAGCCACTTCTGACCTCCTGGTCGCCATTTTAACCTTTTCTTCTGTCCGTCTCTTGGCATGTGTACACGTGTCTTTGTCTCTCCCTATGTTTCTCTGTCTCCCTCTTCTTTAAGTAATACTATGTCCTGTGAGCCTTTTATCTGCTGTAACCACCCACCTGACTCGTCCGGTCACATGGTGCTGCCACCCTGGAGATCTTGCAGGGACCCACAGCCGTCCTTGTCGGACTAGCGGCTGCTCTGCGAGCCTGCCAGGGAACACGCCCGCCTTATCTTTTTAAAGAACAAAATTGGTGCCGCAGACTCGAGAGATTCACCCGCCAAGGGCCAGGGTCCCAGCTTCACCTTTCGTCTGGGACTCTGAGCACCAACTTCCGGGACTGAATCGGGACCGAGGACTTCTCAACACCGACCCACGTGCTCCAACTGCCTGGACACATTCCTACAAACAACACCAGCTTCTAATTGTAAGTTTCCCCACTCCAGCCAGCTTAACTGAGCCTTTTTAACCCGAGATTGACCAGTCCTCCCGGTAATTCTAGGCTGGGGGGGGGTACTTCTTCGCCCCTTCGCTGGTGTTCACTATGGCTTGCATCCTGTTAAGCCCATGCCTGGGACAGCTGGCCTAGCTAGCTCCCAGCATTCCCGCACCTGGGGGCCCGGAGCCTCTAGCCTTCTTCCTCTTTATTTCATTCTTTTCTTTTTTCCTATCTTTCTCATGGACGGATTGGCTGATCCGGTTCAGCCATAGCATCCCACATGGGCACCGCGGACGCCTGGGCACATGTTTCGGATGTTTGCTTGCATCTCACCTAAACGGGGAGCCGTTCCCCATAGGCTCAAGATGCCACAGTTTGTGTGGGTTTTTCACGGTCTTGACCCGAAAAAGCAAGTCGTACCAGCCTAAATATGCCTTACTTAAAATCTTCCACACCTATCCATCTTTAAATTGTCTGTTTGCGCGGGTTTTCACGATTCAGACTCTGGATAACAACTGCCCATGGCAGGTGGCCCCCAGCTTTTAAAATTCCTGCGGTCTTTCAGTTTGGCATGGCGGCTCAACAACAGCTCAAAAATTGTAACCCCCCCCCCCCCCCCCCGCTGCAACACATGACTGCCGCCATGTTCATTGGGGTCAGGTGACTTTATCGCTAGATTCACTGAGAGCCAGATCACGCTACTAAGCTCTCTCATTCTTATGTATGCCCTGCCTTTCCTCTCCCCCTCCTCGGTGTTCACTGAAATCCTCTCGTTAACTCTGATTACAGGTGTTTTGCATAGTGACATGCTTTTTGATAGGGCCCATCAAAAACATACACTTTGCCTAATTCCTGTTCAATCTTTCTATGTATAATGATTGTTCATTTCATCTCGTTTCAGACTACAAAATCATAAGTCTCATATTCTAAACTGGTGTGTACTTTTAACTCTCTCATATTTAATATTAAGCTATTCTCTACCATTGTCAATTCTGCCACTAATCTTAACGTTACAGTTTTTTTCTTTCTTTCTGTCTTTTTACAAATGTGGATCTTACCTGTTAAGAGTCAATACAGTCAAACTCAGACCCAACCTTCCAGACAGATTCTATACTGCAGCTATACCTTATAATCAGCCCTCAACTGCTCAGAGATCTGGGGAATGCAATATTTAAATGTTTAAACAAAAAGAGACAGGTTGGCTCCTAGCAAGCACTCCTCCAAGAAGGCAAAAGACAAACGGTCACAGACCAGCATCCATCTGTAGTTTGCTTCGACTGCCAAGCGCTGACCATTGGGCAAAAACTGTCATTCACCTAAACTGGAGACCTCCAGACATGGACAGAATCACTGGAATCGATAGCCTAGCTGCCCAGGTCAAGGTAGGCCTGTCTTCCTACAGATTTCTTAGCCCACAGGGTCTTCTAAAGCCTGACAGGCTCTGCACTAAATAGCAAAGGTCAACTGCAACCTTCAGCAACCATGGAGGACCCAAAAGAGTAGCTCTGGGTGCCAACCAAGTAAGTTCTCTGTCATTTTTTAATCAGTAACTCAAGTAAAATCTTATCCTTCTCAAAGATCTCTGACAGTTTGATAGCTAAGAGGTTTTGCCAGGTTGCCTCAACAAATAAAAAATACTTTCCATTATATGTCTAAAATTTCTGTTTTTACAAACCCAAGAAGTTCTTGATACAATGTATACGTCTAAAACTTCTATTTTCTTATGGGTTCCAGGGAGCCGAATTAAAAAACCCACCGTAAACAGGTCAGATACATAACCCCTCAATTCCCTGGTCCTAAAAAATTTTTTCTTAATTTAACTTTGTCCTCTGTTCTGCTAATACCCTAACCAGGTACAAGGGACACCAGACATTTCCATGCCACAGACACCTGTCAGGAGCAGAGACCAACTACAACTATGCCAGAATGTGAACAGCACCCAGCCTTTTCTCGGATGTCCCCCACCCCCCAAAGACAACGCCCACAAATCAGCCAGAAGCAGTCTTGAGAATTCGCCGCCCCAATTCCTTCAAACTGTAATGTCTAACCTTCTACTTTTTATTATAAAAAGGATCCGGGAATGTTATTCCTTTGCGGTGCCTTTAAGGACTAACCACACCCACTCCCAGCCACTTCTGACCTCCCTCACTGCCATCTTAACTCTCTCTCTTCTGTTTTCCATCTCTTGGCATGTGCACATGTGTTTTCCTCTCTCTGTTCTCTTTTCTATTTCTGCCTTTCTTTCTCTCCTTTTTCTCTAAGTAATAAATGTTTATCCTTATTCTTAGCCTTATGTCTGTTTACTGTGTCCTATGAGCCTTTTATCCGCCGTAACCGCCCACCTGACTCGCCCGGCTGCATGGCGCTGCCACCCTGAAGATCTTGCAGGGACCCACAGCCATCTTTGTTGGACTAGCGGCTGCTCTGCGAGCCTGCCAGGGAACATACCCGCTTTTTAAAGAACAATAGTATTTGCTTCAGAAAGGTGGGTGAAGGCACCATCAGGCTCATCAAACCTCTGGAGTTGACCCCTTGGGAAGCAGTCTTTTCCTCATCCTGGTTTGTAGGAAACAGCTCCTGATGGTTTCTGAAACCTGCAAGATTTGCTAGAAGAGGTGTCTCTTGGGTCATTAAAGAATATGCTTTCAGGGGCTGGAGAATGGCTCAGAGGCTGCTCTTCTGGAAGTCCTGAGTTTAATTCCCAGCAGCCACATGGTGGTAAAAGCATATCTCCTGGACTATCATGTGACCTGGGTTTGTTAGCTATAGGATGAAAGGAGTTTGGCAAGTAAGCAGTTATGAAGACACTACAGGGTAACCCACGTGCAAGAGACTGAGATGCTCCAACGCCACAGACCCTGCCTTGGCCATTACAGCTGCCACATGGGAAAAACAGGACTGAAAGGAGGGAAAGACAGGGTAAAAAAAAACAAAAAACAAAATCATGTTCTTGGGTTTTGTACAAAGCCTTGTCTAAAAGCAAGCACTATGTCAAGAACTTAGCAGCACATTAATTTATTTTTTAGGCTGAAAAGGGGAACTAGAAAACAAGAGAGCAAGAGAATAAATGAGCGTGAAGAACCTATGGGGAAAATGCTAGGAGAAGATGTATGGTGGTGGGATGCACAGGAAGGACCAGCACCTAAAGCTGCAGACCAGAAATCGATGGGGTTTCCTAAGGCACCCAAACAAAACAAAAAGACAGGAAACAGAATGAGGTAGATTTCCCTTTTCATGGTAAATACAAGTGAGATGCTTACAAAATGGTAAATACATGAGATCCTTACAAAATACAAGGCACAGCCAGACGGCGGTGGCATCCCAGCAGTCGGAATGCAGGCAGGCACATCTCTGAGTTCGAGGTCAGCCTGACATACAGATATTTCCAGGCTAGGTTCCAAAGCTACACAGAGAAATCCTGTCTTGAAAAACTAATCAACCAACCAAACAAACAAAAAACCAAAAACCCACAAGGCACATACTTCAAAACTTAACACGCTACTGGTTATATACTTGGAGAGTCCCACAGAGACACTGGGTATTTATTTCTATAAACTAAGTTAGTAAATGAGTAAGAGAAGCAAGGTAAGGATAGGATCCAGGAAGGCAACATTTAAAAGCAAGCAGTGGCTAGATGAGCAAGATGGCTCAGTGGGTAGAGATGCTTTGGTGCAAGTCTGACAACCGAATTTCTGCTTCCCTTATCCTTTAAGACAGGGAGAGAGGAAGACTCTGAGAGCACTCCTGATCTCCATACAGTAAAGTGGCATGTGCGCACACACACATACACGCTCCTAAACTGTTTAAACGGTAAGGAGAAATTATTCCTTTTAAATTGGCTGCAAGTTGGTGATATGATACAAGGGGTATACATGCTTGCAACCAGGTCTGATGATTGCAGTTCTATATTCCCAAGACCCACATGGTGCAAGGAAAGAACTGACTCTCACAAGTGTGCACTGTGAGATGCATGTGTCATGTACACATACACAAAAAATAGATACACTGAATCAGAATGGTGAAATGCTAACACTTTAAGTAAGTTTTATGACAAGCAGAAAACAGAAGAACACACACAGGAGAAAAAAACAGGCAAGCACAGCTCCTTGCTGTACTACACAGGAGTGCGCCAGTGTACACAGGGGCCACCTTAAAAGGACTCTAGCTTGACAAGAAGTGAGATATTTTGAACATCAGAATGAACACAATGAGAGAATTCATTCCAGAGCCATTCTGACAAGGGTGGAGATAGATTAAAAATATTTTAAAATGGAATAGAAAGTTTGGTACAGAAGAATGCTTGCTAGTTAATTTGGAAGACAACAAAAGTGGCTATCTAAAGTTAGTGGCTATCTAAAGTAAGTGTAAGATGAGCCAGGCGGTGGTGGCACACGCCTTTAATCCCAGCACTCTGGAGGCAGAGACAGGCGAGGTCAGCATGGTCTACAGAGAGTAAAATGTAATGTATGATTCCTGGCTACAACCATTTTTTAAATTCTGAGATAATTTTGAAAATACGAGACTACATACTCAATAACACAGTCCATATGTCAATGTTAAATTTCCTACTTGATTACTAACATTGTGTAGGAAAATGCACTGCCTTTGAGTAGATAAGGGTTAAGTGACAATGCCTATCACCAACTTTCAAATATTTCAGGGAAAAAGTACATAATGGTATATATTTGCAATACGCTACGAGGACAGAAGGAATGTGATATTAATTAACAATTGAGTTCAGTGTAATTTGATATATTATTGCAACCTTATTGGAAGACATAAAATAAGTGTACTGTTAGTGTGGAAAGAGGGTGGTAAGATCAGTAGAATCTCTTATTCTGGGATTCATGGTGTAACAAACAGGAGAGAAACTGAAGAAGTTATGACTTTTTAAGAAAATTTTCTGTGCTTTCAACTTTCTCTATTCTGCAATGTGAGTTGGAGCCTGGTAGGAGGCATACAGAGGTCAATAGAAAGGGACCAGTATGACCTTAGGAGAAGCCAACAGAAGGAAAGAGTAAGGCCATAAAGCTACAGGTGAGACCCCTATATAGGTTATGATCTCAGAAAACATTTCCTTTGGCTTCTTCAGTCAAACTGTATATAATCACAGCTGTTTTCTCTCAGAATGAGGGCATAGGGTGTCAGCTGATTTCTGTTCTGAAAAGCCCAACATTTCTCCAGCTTTCTTTCTTGCTATTAATTATATTCCAAAGTATATGTTTGGACAATCTTATCATCACTGGGACTTGGTTATAAGAGCTACTTGATATGGATACATGTTAAGACATTAAACTTCCCAAATCCAAAATCAGCATTGCTGTAATAAACTATACTGATCAAAAACAACTCTGGGGTCTATTTGGCTTATAGCACCCTGTTACAGTCCATCACTGTCAGGAAGTCACAGAGGCAGGGGCTTAGGGAGGTGGTCACATCACATCCATAGTCAAGAGAAACAAATACATCAATGCTGCCTACTTACTTTGAGCAGATCTTTCCCACTCTCACCGTCAGGGCCCACATGCCTAGGAATGGGATCGCCCACAGGGTGTGAGCCTTTTTTTACATCAACATTAAGACATTCTTCCATGGGCCAACTTGCCCAGATAATTGCTCAAGGCTCACAAATTATTTGTACCAATTTTAATCCATTGTGTTTTTGATGTCAACTTAAAACTTTCCATTTATGAGGCCCCAAGTCCTAATATGCATATTTGCATGCATGTATGAGCATGTGTGAGCCACACACACCTGTTTCCTTTAAGGTTCTTACACTTTGTCCTTCCTTGGGACAAATCAAAGTGACAATAAGCATAGGCCTGCAAAACTCACTTCACTTTCAGCACCATGTAGAAAACTCGCCTGAAATTTGACTGTCACTTAGCAAATTTGCCTCTACAGTGATGTGGCCACTCCACCCCTGTGGCAACAGCACATGCTCAAATTATGCTGCCCTACCTTTAGTTTATGCTAGAATGTCTGTTCCTTATACATCCACGTCAGGTTTGTACACATGTCAGAATCATAAAAGAAAAAAAGAAAATCAAACTTGAACTGATTTTTAAATCAGTTTGATGAACATTCTTTTTAGTGATTTATCTATCAAAACATAAACTCCAGCACTTTCACTCTTACTTACTGTTTATGAAGTATTATAATACACAATACTCTTTAAAGGTCTGGTACAAGTTTTTAAAAATTTACCCCCTTGTAGACAGAGAAAGCCCCTCAAACAAGCCCAGATCCTCTAATCCCTTTAATGGAATGTTACAAATGTAATTAAGACTAATAATAATTGGGGGCTGAAGAGTTGATCCAGTTAAGAGCACTTGTTGCTCTTTCAGAAGACCCGGGTGGATTCTCAGCATCCACATGGTATCACAGCCATCTCTAGTCCCAGTCCCAAGGTGTCTTAGTCACTCTTCTACTGCTGTGACAAAATACCATGACCAAGGCAACTTATAAAAGAGTTTAATTGGGTTTATGTCTTCAGAAGGCGAGAGTTCATGATGGTGAGCAAAACCATGGCAGCAGGAATAGCTGAGAGCGCATCTGAATCTACAAACAGGAGGCACACTGGGAATGGCATGAGTCTTTTGAAAACCCCAAGTCTGCTGACAGTGACATGCCTCTTATAAAGTCCTCCTCCTAATCCTTCCCAAACACATCCACCAACTGTGGATGACGTAGTCAACCACATGAGCCTGTGTGTGCGGGGTCATTCTCATTCAAATCATCACAGGGAGTCTGATGCCCTTTCTCCCTTCGATGGGAGAAATATAATCAAGAGAACAAGCTGTCCTCGGATCTCCACAAGCAGGCACATGTGTATGCATGTATGGCTGTGCACACTCACATGTAGTTTATCAGCAAATTCATGAATAAGACAATGATGGAAGCAACGCTCAATACAAGCTGCAAATTCCAACACCTTGTTGAGCCTTTAAGAATGAGCAGATACCAGGCTAGTTCACTTGGACATAAATTTGCTGTTTCAGCCTTTTAATTTTTTTGTGAGTGGTTATGGACATAAGAAACAGGTTCTTCATGATTTTTAAACTAAAACAACTATCTAAGTTACTCTTAATAACTGCTTTGAAAAATAAACTTGAAAGATATAACATATCCTTTCCAAGACACTGTTTTATTCTTATGTTTTCCTTCCTATATACACTGACCTCTATATGTAATTTCTGCATTTACTCCAGAAACTCTGGGAGAGGAGTCGGTGCCATTAAACAGAAAGCCATCCCTTCAGCCCCATGAGTTTAAGCCT